ACACCAAGACAAGAATGGAGAAGTGAGGGGTGATTTTCTCAGCTACCCAAAGGAAGTTCAGCATACAACATAAAGCATGTATAATTCTGGACCAAGTGGTTTGTTTATTCAACTGGTGATTCATCCAGGACCAACTCACATCAGGATTTATTTGTTTTTGTTGTTGTGTTGTTTGTTTTAGTTTGGAGGCCTGAGGAAATGTACAGAGATAGGATATGGCGTGCGTGTGTGTGTGTGTGTGTGTGTGTGTGTGTGTGTGTGTGTGTGTGTGTGTGTGTGACTACTGCTTCTATTTTTGCTTGGTGGAGTGAGGGGGGAAGCAGCCCCAGGAGAGACATTTAAGAATGAACAAAGAGGAAAGGAAGGAGCCAGGTGAATCCCTTTGGCTTCTCTTTATACCCCAACACTCACAAGAGAATGAGGAGTCATTAAAGAAGGACAAGGTGTTTGAGCTATATCAATGAGAAACAAAGTGTTTCATCCAGGCCAATGCATTTGACTGGTCCACCCCTATGCTATGGTTTCCATTAAGGAATATAGCCATTTCATCAAGAGCATAGGAAAAGAAAAAGCTACATCTTTGCAACTAGGGTAGAGGGAGGAAAGAAAGGTCTTCAGCTGTCTTTTAGCCCAGCTCTCTGCTGTCTTTTAGCCTGGCTCTGTGAACATAGTAGACAATAAATATCAATCTGGAAATGAAATCATTTATACAAGGGTTACCTATCTGAGCAGGGAAGGAAAGCAAATCCCATTATTCCGTAACTTTTTTATTTTATTTTCAGCCATTTTCATTTTTAAAATGAAAGCTAAATTGAACAATATTTCATGGTGTCTTCCCTTTCTCCTTCCTTCCTTCCCTTCCCTTCCTTCCTTCCTTCCTTCCTTCCTTCCTTCCTTCCTTCCTTCCTTCCTTCCTTCCTTCTCTCCCTCTTTGTTCCATCTCCAGGTCCCTTACTCTATGTGTGTGTGTGTGTGTGTGTGTGTGTGTGTGTGTGTGCGTGCACACATGTGTGCGTGTGTGCGTGTATTGTAAAAATGTTGTACAGAGGGGTTACAGTTACATGAGTAGGGTAATGAGTACATTTCATAGTGAGCATTGTTACCTCCTCCTTTGTTTTCCCCTTACCATCCCTTCCCTCCCCAATTCCCTGACTCCTCCAGCCCCCCCCCCGAAATTGTAAAGTTCATTTTCAACATAGTGTCCTGTACATCTCGTCATCACAATGGGTCAGCCTGCAACCCCATTTAAGTATTCCACAATATCCCTTCCACTCCCCAAATTACAAGAATGTATATACAAGGTGCAGAACACCTGCATCAAATCTAGTGAAAACAGGGGTTATGCCATGGGGGAAGAACATACAATAGAAACAAAAGAATCACATAGTGCATTGTAAATACATTAAAAACACTAGCAAGAAAGAAAAAAAAACTCTTGTATCCCTGTCTTGGAGTACATTTTGCTTAACATTATCTCATGTGGTCATATATACATAGCCTTTGTCCAGGTCGCTTACTCTTTCCCTTTCCCTCCCCCATTTCCTCCCCCTCCCTTCTCCTTCCAGCCTTCTTTCTCCCTCCCTTCCTTCCTCCATCCCTTTCTTCTTTCTTGCCCCGTTCCTTTCTTCTTTTTCTCCCTTCCTTTCTTCTTTCTTTCCTTCCTCTCCCTTCGGCCCTATACTTTTATCTCTCTTTCCCTCTCCTTCTCCTTGTTTCTCTCCATATTTCTCTCAGCAACCTTCTTCACTTCCTATCTTCCTCCCTCTCTCTCTTTCTACTCCTTTGCCCCTTCCTTCTTTTTCCCTTTCCCTCTATTTTCATCACTCCCTTCTTTCCTTCCTGCTCTCCTTCTACTTCCTTTCCTTTCATCTGTTTCCCTCTCCTTCTTCCTATTTCTCACCCTTCCCTCCTTCCCTGTGTTCTTTCTTTACTTTTCATCCCCTTCTGGTATCATTATTTTAGATGCTTAATCTTAGCTTTACTTGGTTTTTCCTCCCTACTACTCTGCCTACTACTCCTTCAGACATAAAAGGCAACAGAACTAGGATATGGCCACTGAGCTTCCAACTAAGAAAAAGACAAAAAACCAGGGAACAGAAAAGAAGAATCTAGAGCAACAATTTTAGGAAATAGTTTGTCAATCAGTGAAGAAAGTGAAAACTTAATGCTCCTTTTCTCCTGCCCCACACTGACCATCCTGGGATTTGAACTCAGGGCCTCCATGCTTACTAGACAGGGCTCTATCACTTGAACCAAGTCCCTATTCTCCCTTTTTTAAAAAAAGTGGGGCTTTTAAGTCATTTTCATGTGCAATAGGCATTGAAAAATATAAAGTTAAAAACCAGAATATTTTTCTACACTGAGATTCCACTTCGCCCCAGTCACAATGGCTATCATGAAGAAAACAAATAACAATGAATGCTAGAAAACATGGTGTAGAGAGGAAGAACCCTTATATAATCTTTGTAGAAATGCAAATTGCTAGTTACTATGGAAATCCATATAGAGGTTCCTAGAAGAAGATAGAACTTACTGCTCTAGTATTCCTGGGCATGTAACGAAAAGTGTGTAAGTCAACAAGGAATTTACAATTGCAAGGTATAGAATCACCCTAGGTGCCCATCAACTGATCAATGGATGAATACTATGTGCTATATATACACAATGGAGTTTTACTAGGCCATTAAAGACGAATAAATTACTGAGAATGTAGCTCAAGTGGTAGAGTGACTGTTTGGGAAGGAGAATATAAGAGGAGGAGGAGGTGGTGGAGGAGGAGGGGATGGAGGAAAAGAGTTGTTAAGAGACAAAAGATACAAATAACTTTGTTGTTTGCTAGAAAATGGGTAAAGCTATATGTGAATGAGTCCGTACCACAGATACTAATGCCATATGTTTTCTCACATATGTGGAAGCTAACAAAACAAGCCAAAATAAAACAAAAAGATCATAAAAGAAAAATGGAAACCATTAGGGAGGTAGAAGGTGAAAGGAAAAGGAGACACTACATTGAAAATGAAGTATACAACTTTGTGGGTGGAGACACAAGGGAAAAATGGAGAGAGAGAGAGGGAGGGAAGGGGTAACATTGTCCAGAAGTAAATGTTCTCATTGCCTGACTTATGAAACTGTAGCCTCTCTGTACAGCACCTTTATAATAACAATAAAGGGCTGGGAAGGTGGCTCAGTGGTAGGGTGCTTGCCTAGCATGCATGAGGCCCTGGGTTCGATTCCTCAGTACCATATACACAAAAAAAGCCAGAAGTGGTGCTGTGGTTCAAGTGGTAGAGTGCTAGCCTTGAGCAAAAGAAGATCAGGGATGCCCAGGCCCTGAGTTCAAGCCCCAGGAATGGCACAAAAAAAGTCTTTATAATAACAATAAAAAGGGGAGGATTGGGTGGGGGGGTGGGGGGGGAAGGTTGGGAAGGGATGTGAAGGGTAAACAAAGGAGGAAGCTGCAATGCTTGATAAGAAATGTACTCATTGTCTTACCCATGTAATTGTAACCCCTCTGTACAGTATGTTCAAAAAAAATTAAAATTAAAATTTTTAAAACAAGAAAAAATAACAATAAAAAACAAAGAAAGGAAGGGAGGGAGGGAGGAAGGAAAGAAGGAAGGAAGGAAGAAAGGAGGGAAGAAAGGAAGAAAGGAAGAAAGAAAGAAAGAGAAAGGAAGAAGAAAGAAAGAAAGAAAAAAGAAAGAAAGAAAGAAAGAGAGAGAAAGAAGGAAAGAAAGAAAGATAGAAAGGGTAAATATGATCAAAGGACATTTTATTCATGTATGGAAATACTACAATGAAATCTCTGTACAATTAATATATGCTAATAAAAAACAGCATGTTTTTCTCTTTTTCCATTTTATTATTTTACAAAGTAACCTCATGGGTGTATCAGGAAATCCTCTGGCCATGATGACTTAGGATGCTCCTGCTGGAGTTTTGTTCACTTTTAAGTGAGCTACTCTGCAAAATTGCAAAAATATGTGGTTGTCAGGAATAAGCTACATTTTTTTACTTAAGTCTTTTAAATTAATCTTGTTACTAACAACAAAAAAGGCAATACCCATGTAATTGTAACCCCTCTGTACAGTATTTTCACAATAAAAAAAATTATTTTTTAAATTTTAAAAAGGCAATAAGCAGCAGGTGCCAGTGGCTCACGCCTGTAATCCTAGTTCCTCAGGAGGCTGAGCTCTGAGGATCAGGATTTAAAGCCAGCCCAGGAAGGAAAGTCCTTGAGACTCTTGTCTCCAATAAACCACTCAGAAAACAGGAAGTGGCACTGTGGCTCAAGTGGTAGAGTGCTTGCCTTGAGCTGAGGGACAGCGCTTTTAAGCCCCAGGACAGACAAAACAAACAAAGAAAAAGACAATAAGGAAAGGTCCATTCAGGTCATCTATATGAGGACATTGATACCCTTTAAGGCTGAATGCTTTGTTTGACATGAAACACAGTTTTGGTTTGGCTTCATGTTACGATGACACACAATGGGATACCACTTCTGATTAGTGTCAACTCTCATCCTACACAAGAATGATGTGTGCATTTTATAACAAAGCAATATAGTAAAGCCACTAAAAGATGTAATTTGTAGCTTGGCACTGATGTCTCATGCTGGTGATCTTAGCTGCTCAGGAGTCTGAGATCTGAGGATCGCAGTTCAAAGCCAGCCTGGGCAGGAAAGTCAGTGAGACTCTTACCTCCAATTAACCAGCACTAGTACAAAGAAGCCATTGTAGAGCTGGGAATGTACCTTAGGCACAGAGGGCTTGCCTGATGTAACACCGTGGGTTCCATCCTCAGCATTGAAAAAAAAAAAAAGCAAAAGAAGCCATTATAAACACCAATAAACAGATGAAATCTAACAATAAAATTAAAATGGAATTTTATCTCACCTAAATTTCCTCCTCTTCTTAACGATTTGGGAATAAGCTTTTGTTAAAAAGCAAGTGAAGATCATATTTCACATGATTTCTGTCTTGTGCTTTTGTGTGCCTTAGAACTCCTCTCTGGACCAGCTTCCTGTTTCCTGTGGGCTGTCGCCTGATTGGCTGCAAGGATGAAAGTTTTTGAGTTGGTAGGAGGCCTGATCTTCTTCGCCGCCATGTTTGCAGTCTGTTCTGGACAAAGCTCAATGACTGTACTATGTTCCATGGACTGGTTCATGGTCACAGTCCACCCGTTCATGTTGAACAACGATGTATACGTCCACTTTTATGAGCTCCACTTGGGTCTAGGTTGTCCTCCTAATCATGTTCAGTCCCATTTCTACCAGTTCACCTACCGGGTTACTGAATGTGGCATTAGAGCCAAGGCCGTCTCGGAAGACATAGTTATCTACAGCACTGAGATACACTATGCTTCTAAGGGCACATCATCTCGATATGTGATCCCAGTGTCCTGCGCTGCCCCCAGGCGCTCCCCTTGGCTCACTAAGCCCTATTCCATGAGAGTAGCCAAAGAAAGTTCTGCAGTAGCTCAGAAAGGTAAACCATGCTGTGAGATGTTAAACTCGTCCAACCAAAGGCCTGTCTGCGATTGTCCACCTTATGTCTTCAATGAAGACCGTACCCAGAATGCACCTCAGCAAGCAGAGGCCCAGGGGGCCCGTCCGATGCCATCACCTCAACTTCCTGCCATTTCTTCTGAGGACTGGTGTCTTCGCTCCGACGATCTCATGGGGCCCATGTGATCCTCCAGTCTTGAGTCTTCTGAAGATTACCTTTTTAGAATTAGAATGTAGTGTTTCCTATTATCAGAAAAATAAATACCCTTAAGGTACTCCTAGGAGTCCTTTTGAGAAAGGACAACTTCTAGTAACTTCTCATTCCATTTGTAGTGGGTTTTTCCCCCCTATATATACCTTTTGGAAGAAAGAAAAATCTGATGGCATGAAAATGAACTAGGAGTGTTTTTGTTGAATAAATGTAGCAGTTTTCAAAGTGGTTTGCCTGGGTCTTTTCTTTGTAGGATGCCTTTGCTCTCCATTTAGTTCCTCTAAGAAAGATTTCCCTACCTGAACCTCTCCATTATACCACTGAAGCTATATATCTTCATAGTTCCAATTACAGCTCTATCATTTTTCATGCAATCAAAGCATCATTGTACTAATGACTTTGAAACCACCAGTAATTCTAAGAATTACATAATTCACATCCCTCATAGGTGCCTGAGGCTCAATTGAACCATGTTTTAGTCACAGACTAATAATTCCTTGAAAGGAGGCTCTCCCACCAAGATGATCAATTAGAAAAATCTCACCAAGCTGGGTGCTGGTGGCTCACGTTTATAATCCTAGCTACTCAGGAGACTGAGATCTGAGGATCATGGTTCAAATCCAGCCCAGGCAGGAAAGTCCCTGAGGCTCTTATCTCCAATTAACCATTAAAAAGACCAGGAGTAGAAGTATGGCTCAAGTAGTAGAGTACCAACCTTGAGTGAAAAAGCTAAGGGACACTATCTAGGCCCTAAATGTAACCCTTGGTAGCAGCGCGCGCGCACACACACACACACACACACACACACACACGAAAAGAAAAGACAAAAATCTCACTTAAGTTTGCTTGTCCATTAGCTTTCTCAAAGGCTTGGAATAGTAAGTGTATTGTTCAACAAATACTTGTTATTCAGTGTTACTCTATACCAGATGTGACTCTAGGCATTAAGGATATGGCAATGAGCAGAAAGGGACTTGGAAAAATTGAGGTCACACAGCTGGTAAACAATGATAAATTCAGATGGTGACAAATGCTGTGGAGAAGTTAAAACAAGGGGACATGAGAGACACTAGAGTTGTCACAAAAGCCATCTGAGGACTTGTCATATGAACTGATCTAGAATGTCCTGAAGAAGGATCCTGTCCTGGGATCATCTAGAGAGAAAATACGGCCAATAGAAAAAGCATCTCATTTGATCCTTGCTACAACCCTATGAGAGCAACATTCTTATCACACCCATTGTACAAATAAAGAAACCAAGATACAGTGACTAAGAATGTAGCCCAAGGTCACATACCTACTGAGAAGCAGACTGGTTTTTGTTGTTGTTACACAGAGTTTATTCATTCCTTTTTATTGCTAATATAATAACAATTTTAAAGGTAGTTACCCTGCCAAGAATCTAGTTTATCAAAGTAATATAATAAGACATAATATATCCCTCTGACTAATTCAATATGAAGATTCTTTTTAGGGTATATCTGGCATTATTTTCAGTATCTTTAAGTAGTTGTACAAAGTAGTCGCCATTTAGCAAAGCAGTTTTCAATACAATATATCTTGATTAATGTCACTCCTTTCAATTTCACACCATAAATCTACATAATTTTGTCAACAGAAATTTTAAGAGGCAGACAATGTTTTTAGTACATGTTTGCACATGCTAATATAAAGTTCTTTAAACAAGTAGAGAGGGCTGGGAAGGTGGCTCAATGGTAGAGCGCTTGCCTTGCATGCATGAGGCCCTGGGTTCGATTCCTCAGCACCACATAAGCAAAAAGAAAAAAGCCGGAAGTGGCTCTGTGGCTCAAGTGGTAGAGTGCTAGCCTTGAGGTGAAGAGCTGAGGGACAAAGCCCAGGCCCAGAGTTCAGGCCCCATGACTGGACCACCCCCCCAAAAAAATAAGTAGAGAATATAAATGTAGTCATACTAGGCACGGGTGGTTCATGCCTATAATCCTAGCTGCTTAGGAGACTAAGATCTGAGGATAGCAGTTCAAAGCCAGCCAAGGCAAGAAAACTTGTGAGACTCTTATCTCCAATTAACCATCAGAAAACTGAAAGTGGAGCTGTGGCTCAAAGTGGTAGCATACTAGCCTTGAGCAAAAGAGCTCAGAAACAGCACCCAGTCCCTGAGTTCAATCCTCAAGTCCAGCATGCACGCACACACACGCACACGTGTGCATGCACACACACACACACACACACACACACACACACACACACACAAAGAAATATAGTCATGATACACCGTAGTTCACTTAAATCTCCCTCATCCCTTCTTGAGGAAAACCAGGTAATGATCCCTGGAAGCAGTAGATTCATGCTGCCAATGCTAATTGCAAATAGTTCTATGTGCCAAGCACTATGGTAGAGCCTGGCAAGTAAGACTGACACAATTTAGTGGGAGGAGGGGACATAGTAAAAACACCTCAAGAACTACAGTATATAGGCATTATTCTGGCCCAGAAAATGGCCTTGTGCAAAGATATGAAAATCTGACTGAGGTCGTCAGAAAAAGGGGCAGTAGTGTAGAGGCGCAGATGACAGTGGTGAGCAATGGGGCCAGAAATAGCACTTGATGGGACTATAGGCAAGAGATCTAGCTGTTCCCTACCTCCCCCTCTCCTCAGAAGCTTATAGATGACTGAGCAATGGAAAATATGGAAGCAACTTGGCAATAACTAATGGGACCCTAGACCTATTGTGTACAAATCATAGTCATGATATGTGAGCAGTTCACAACTGCAAATGGCAGTCTTCAAAGTAACATCCTCTAGAGCTGTGAATAGTGTCTCAGCCATGGAAGAGACCCAAAGAATCTGTGGAAATCATTGTAGTTGCCACGCTCCAAGCCCATTGCCATGATCTTATGTTAATGTTTGTACAACTTTGTAAAATACTAATAATTTTCCCTGTGTTTTTTCATAGATGAGGAAAGTGATGTTTGGAGAAGCAAAGGTACACAGTTAATAAATGACATTACTAGGGTAGACATCTAAATTTGTCTAGGGCCAAAGTATCCCCCTTTTGCCTTTGTACTCAGCACTGCCTCCAAAGAAGAATAGATTTCCATAGGAATGGAAAGATCAGGCACCTCCTCTGGTAGAGGATGGCAATGACCCCACTCCCAGAACATGAAGAGAACGTAGTCAAGCAGAGCTGAGAACGAACGTTGTATGTGAGCATAAGCATGGAAACTGGTGCAATGTGTTAGGGGAGGGTACTTAGGGAATGATTGTCCTGGTTTGGTTGACGGGAGAGCAGGTGGGTAAAGTTATTAAAGGGCAGGAAGATAAGAAAATGATGTTGTTCTTCAAGTGAACAACAACAGAAATTCATTCAGTTTTAGCCTACTGGAATCTAAGAGAGAAACTGAGCAGAGCAAAAAAAAAAATCTTCAGCATGGGAAGCTCCAGGCTAGAAAGCAAAATGGATTGCTTTCATGGAAGACATAAGACTTAAGCTCAGCTCTGATCTGTTTGGCTGGACATAGGTAAGAAAGACAACATTAACTGAACGGTTTCACCATGTAAAGCCCTAACGACTCAGAACACATGGGTAGCTCTGGATTTAAGTAAAGAAATTGGGGTGAATGTATGGGATCAGGGTAAAGATGTAAGTTGGTTGTATATGTTAAGTTTGAGGTGATAGTGACATCCAAGTGGCCGTGTCCAGGAATCAGCTCAAGAATTGGAGCGATAGTTCAAGAAATAAAATTTTACAATGCCAGGAAGGATGTATTCCCAGGAGATTAGACTAGAGGGATTCGCATGATTATAGGTAATAAACAGCAAATCAGGATTCCCAGACATTTAATTCTCAAGGCTTCATTACAAAAATGATAGAAAAGCAGCCATTAAAGATGATAGAAATGATCAGGGATGCTGGGTGCCAGTGGCTCACACTGCCATCCTAGCTACTGAGGAGAGTGAGATCTGAGGATTGTGGTTCAAAGCCAGCCTGGGCAAGAAAGGCCTGAGACTCTCATCTCCAATGAACCACCTGTGACTCAAAGTGGTAGAGCGCTCGCAGCGTATGCAACTGTGTTCCCCTAGCTCACTGAGAGGGAGAAACAGTAGTTACGTTGTGGAATCAGAGAGAACATAGTTTTCAAGATCAAGTCTTGGGCCTGATTTATTTCACTTAACAAAGGACGCATGTTTTCTCCCACTTGTGGATCTAAATTACAAGCATATATGTAACATATACATATAAACTAATGTATGGTATGTGCAGGGGAGGATTCCAATGGCGTAATTCCTTTGAACAACTAATTTAGAGTTTGATAAAATTCTAAATGAATCTCAGTAAATTGACGAGTTGGGTGGAGTTGAAAGAAAGATGAAATGGGTGACCTTGATCAAGATGCATTGTACTTACAAACTGACATGTAAAATTGAAACCCCTTGGTACAGCTACTTAAGGATTAAATAAACAAAGTCTTGATCTGTGGTGGTTATTGTAAAAAAAAAAAAAAGGTAGAGCACTAGCCTTGAGCCAAAAAAGCTGAGTTCAAACCCCTTGACTGATCAAAAAAAAAAAGAAAGAAAGAAAGAAAGAAAAAGAAATGACCAGGGATGGAAGGAGAAGTGTAACTGACAAAATGCTAGACTGGAGGGCAGGTTGGGCATTAGTCTCCAGGGCAACGGATGAGCCAGGTTGGAGGAAGCCTTTGAACTGGACCTTAAATGAGAAGTAGAATTTCATCAGGTCATAATGGAGGTTTGGAAAGGCACTGTGGACAATGGAAACACTAAAAACAAACATGCAAAGAAACACTGTAATTAGGAATCACATAGGTTGACATACAAGTATAAGAGGCTCTAATCTTTGAAAATTCTGTAGTCATCTGCACTCAGGGACTTCAACAGATCTTTACTCCATAAAAGTATACTCTTTGGGCACCCGTGGCTCATGCCTGTCATCCTAGCTACTCAGGACGCTGAGATCTGAGGATTGCTGTTTGAAGCCAGCCCAGGCCAAAAAGTCAGTAAGACTCTTCAACCAACCAGTAAAAACTAGAAGTGGAGATGTGGCTCATATGG